AGGGGACCGAGAGAGAGGCGGGCGGCAGGTAAAACAAAAATGCGCCCGCCGCCCGCACCTCTCTCGGTCCCCTTTGTCGTCATACCCCGCGGCCCTGTACCGCGCGGGCGAGGACTCATTTAAACGGTCATACTATAGTTAACAATGCTTTAAAAGGAATTTGGGAGTGTTTGGTAAAATCCAAACGTATGGTAACACTATCCTAAGACCAATCAGTTTTTTATTGTTTCTTCTCGCCTCGAGTACTTGAAATAGTTGGGTTGTTACTAGATCATTTTATTTGTCAAATATTTTTAACCGCATATAGACGGAGAGTTCGTCAAAAAAATATACAAGAGCTTTCTAAAGTCTTGATATTTCAATATGTTGAAGTACTAAGGGTATACTCATTCAGTACCCAGTGCGGAAATATAAAGCTGTAGAAAGTTCTTGCACGTTTTCGTTATGATCTCTTAGATTAATAATGATCAAACATATCATTGCATGTTAGGGTGACCACACATTAGAAATTAATATTATTTTCTACTTATACAAATCAGACTTAACTGATCTTAAGGCATTCAAAATTATCTCGAAATTCTTTTGAACCTTTCAGATTAAATATTGGGATAAAAACATGATTATTAATAAAATTGTATTAATATGACTTGTTTTTCTTAATGAATTTAAATAAATAATACATTTAAGAGAAATCAAACAAGAAAATCATTAAATAGTGAAATAAAATGTCGCAGTAAGCTGAGTTTCGTGATTCTCATACAAATAAATACAAGTTCTGATATGTATTTATATACATAATTAATGCGCATTAATTATGTATATAATAACGTCCACACACTTATTTAATAATTGATTATTTAATTAAAATTATATCACAAAAGATTTTGAATGATGTTAAAAATACAAAATCCCAAGAGGACTTCGTGTGCTGCGCGTCATCAAGATGTTCCTTCCATCATTAAACATAAGTAATTTTTTATTATTCTTTAGTTTTATATTTATATATTAATTGTGTGAATGGAGGAATGCTGTATGCGCAGAGCACAAGAAGCGTGAAAGTTTATTATTAGCCACGTAAAAAATGATGGTGATTATATTATTTGTTTTATTACGTATCATGTCCAATAAAATCGTGAAAAGGCAACAACAACAGTTTAATAATAAAATTTCGTTCTGTAATTAAATGAGCCATTGAAAAGAGGCTAAATTCTTTTTCCAAGGAACGTAAAACGTATATTTAATAAATAACTTTTATCTTTATACTTTTAAGGACCACCTGAAACCAATTCTTTACTATCGGGTTCGATCGGTCTTTATTAGCATGAGAATAAGGTTTGTAATTGAATGTAGGTTTGGATTGCGTTGTTTGTTAGTTCGCTGAATAACTAATCTGCATACATAGAACATTATCTCTGTCCCTCTCCTTTATCTCTGTAATGAGGAATTGTGGATACTTAGATTAATGGATAATTTGAGGTTATTAAATAAGAAATAATGGTATTACAAACATTTTCTACTTCCCCTAATGTGTTTCTTTATTCTTTATTGTTACTTTAAATCACCAACATTTTTTAAGTAATGTAACCGGTTTCTGAATTAAGTACAAAATCTCAACTGATTATTCTCAATAACTTAAGTTTCTTACGTTTCACAAGTCATAAAGTCCTAGTTTTAAGGAATTGCTATGAAAAGATCATTTAAAAAAAAAAAATTAGAAGTTCGTGACGTTCTTAACTTTAAATTCTCTATTCAGAAACCGAATGAAAGTGTAATATTATTTAAAAAAAAATGTCATTTGCTTATTTAGTGTGCTTGATTGTTATTAGCTCCGGAGGTGCTGAGTCGAGAGCCGTATGGGCACGCGATCGACTGGTGGTCGCTGGGCGTCGTCACGTGTCGCCTGCTCACTAATGAGGTCAGTTTTATTTATTTTACTCTAACAGCCGAGCACGTACCAGGTACGTGATTATTATATGAAACATTAGCGGCGGTTAACGTGTTAATCTTTATTTAGGCGCGCCAAAAACTAGTCGAGCGTCCTCTATTTATTTGACATAATATTTTTTTTGTTGGGAATAAAATAAATGTAAATGGTTAAAAAGAAAACAAAATTTTTAGTAATATATAAAATATTGCAGTACTCGTCGGGTATTAAAATAATATCTAAGAAACTATTGCAATAACAATAATAGATAGGACTGCTTGGAAAATTCTGGATGTTATAAATGTGAACGAGTTGATGCAATTGTTGCTTGGCAGCCACAAAGACTCATTTATCGCCTAAACCACATACTTACATTTTCCATTTATTACTATTATACTTACGGGCTAATAACTTGGTGATAAACTTGGTTTATAAATCAGGCTGGAGTCTAGTCTACGTCTGCCAGCACTGTTCCGGAACACACATACGATTCGTAACGGATTTCTATAGATTTATATGATTAGTGAATATTACGAGGAGGTCGATGGCGCAGTATTTCTGCGATACGGTTGTTAAGCAACTATCGCAATGGCCGGTCATGGGATGGGTGACCAAAAATCTATTATCTCGAACACCTCCGCACTTCAAAAAAGAACATAAAACCGTTGATCACGGCTATATTTGTAGTCGTTAATACCCACCAATCCGCACTTGGCCACATGTGGTGGGTAATGCATGGTCCATTCTCCCTATTCAATTTGATTCCATCGATAGGAAGGCCTGAGCCTCAGTAGTGGGCATATTAATAGGCTGCTGGTGATGATGATGACGCATAGCTGTGTAGATGACATCACTTACACATGTAGTAAACAAACAAATTTTTCTAACATTTTGTCTTTTGGAAATGAATGAATTTTCGGTTTATCTAGTGACTGATACATCGTTAATGTTGAATGTCAAGACATGGTGCTAGTGTTTTAATTTTATGATTTTGTCCGAGGAAATTATAGCCTATTTTCTCTTTATAATATAGTAGTTTTTGTTTCTGGTATTGATACTCAATAATTTATTACCTGCCAATATGTCAAGGATTTGACCTCCAATAATACCTGAAACTGTAGGATACCTACTTGATTATTTGTTAATTTTTATAACTCTTATATTTTTTTATGATGCATCCTCACTCTATTGGTGTTTTAATTTAATGTCTTTTTAGGTTGAGAAATATAAATCTATATATAAAAGCTACATTAAATTCGAAGTTATTATATGTTTTGAGAGAACATTTTTACTATATTTAGTTAATCATTAGATCACATAAATTGACATTTTATTTAATTATTGCTTTCTCGCAACTTAACCCGCGTAAATTATATCCCCTCAAAAACATAACATGTACAAAAAATGCACATGCTGATCCCGAAGTCCTATGGTAATAGTTTCTGTATCTTAGTTTGTTACTTAGTTTACTTTGAGAATCTTTTTTTTTTTTTATTTATTTATTAAGTTAGGACACAAAACAGTACACAATCAAATTGAGTTTAATTTACAGCAATTCAAGTAATTTATAAACTAGATTGTAAACCAAATCCTCGTGGCCTTATCATGACAATTATAAAGGTTGCATAATAGTATATTATATTTTTCATGCATAAAATAAAGAATAAAATTAGATTACATTAAAACTAATTACAATAAATTTACAAATCAATCCCAAAATTGTACCTTATCAGTGACTACAACATCGAAATTAATAAAATAACCAATAATTAATAATTACACATTCAACACGATTCAATAAGCACATCGGTAATACATCGCTTAAGTCGCTATCGGTAATAATTCTGTTAAACTTGCTGGTGCTTAATGCTTAGGTATTCCTTTTTTAAGCACCAGCTGTGCATTTGATTGTGCCCTAAGATAACTAAGCCTAGTACCCCTATTCATGTAAAAAATGTAATCATGAAGCCAATAAACAATATTATTATTATTAATTCAGTATATTTTATTTACTCTTTAATAAATGTTTGTATTTTTTCCTTTCTTTGTATGCAAAATAATACCACTGTTCAAAATTTGGAGCCTGTGGGTCTGCTAGAAGTACTTTAGAATTTTGACCATCTATGAGTATAAGCGTAGCTCAGTGGCGTAGAGGATAAGCGCCGCAGCCCGTGATCGTTGTTGTTAAGCAACTTTCGCAAGGGTCGGGTGACCAAAAAATTATTATCTCGAAGTACTTCGTGCTTCAGAAGGCACGTTAAGCCGTTGGTCCCGGCTGCATTTGCAGACGTTTATACCATCCAATCCGCATTGGCCCAGCGTGGAGGGGTCATGGCTCATCCTCCTTAACCATCCCAAGGAAAGCCTGAGCCCCTGCAGTGGGGACGTAAAAGGGCTGGCGATGATGATGATGATCAGTCAGTCAGTGACAAAAATAAGGTATTTTGAATTGCAATAATACTTAAACTGCTCGTTCAAATTTAATGTAAGTTGGAAAAACTCTTAGTTATGTGATGCCCTTTGTGTCACTGAAAATTTAAGCTTCTAGTTTACTCCACATTCAAGTTACAGGGGGTCAAAAAGGGCCCGAATGACTTCGAGAAAAGGATGACTTTGCGGGGGTTGTGTCGTGCGTAGGTTCAATGAATTTAAGATCGGTCCAGTAGTTTCTGAGGCTATTCGATGCAAACAAACAAACAGTCAATTCTTTCCTCTTTATAAAATACTGTAGTTAATTATTTCCGTGCCCTGTTATTGTTTTTAAAAACTTTTAATGAATAATGCTTAAGAAATTTATCAGTCTGAAAAATATTTCTTTCGGCTGTTTGGGTGAATCCCGTTGATGAAGTTGCGAAGTACATAATAACCGCTAAAGAAGTTCATCAGTCCTTTAGGTCTCGGGTAGCTCAATGATTATAGCAGTCAGTCTCCCGGATTGCGAAAAGTTGTTGGTTCGAGTTCAATCTCGGAGTGCCTGGGACTGGTGAATTCTTGACGCATTTTTCATTAAAGATATTTATTAATATAGTATTATGTATGCAAAATTTAACATATATAAAAATAAAAACCATTATTATATTATAAAAACATATTTTATTATTCTTATAGTACCTACCGGAAATTCGATAATTTACTTTTGAGAAATTATAATTACAACACAGGTAATTTTTCGATTCGGCTATTTAAATAAGTCTCTAAGGTCTTCTAATGAATAGACGGGAATATCCACACTAAATGCGTGGCGTTCGTTCACACAATCACATGTAATACATACACGTATCACATTTCAATCGACACGGCGCGCGGAGGCATCCTAACAGCATCCGGAGCGGGGGGCGCGTGTCGAGGGTCGTCGACACACGCCCGCCGCGAGCGCTCCTTAATCGTAATCTAGGATTTGGAAACTGGCTCTTTGTCAGTTTTCTCAGCGCTCTCTTCTGATGAATCCTCATCCTCTCCACTCTCTTCTGAACTGGCAGCGGGTGCGTCGCCTGAAGGTTTCTCCTTAGACTCAGCGGACTTCGATTCGACGCCTTTCGGTGAGTCGGCAGGTTTTTTAGGTTGAGAGGCTTCGACAGGTGTTGGGAGGGCTTCTGCCACTGGTCCATTTGATTTGGACTCGGTTTCTTTAGGAGTTTCGTTCGCTACTGCAGCTTCACTGGCCTTTCCTTCTTTTTTATCAGCTACAATTTCTTTGGGAGCTTCCTCAACTTTAGCCGGGGTTGCTGGTTGTACTTTTTTTTCGTCATCTCCAGCTAAAGCCGCTGCCTTAGCTTTATCATCGACGGTATCACGAACGACACGTAGACTGTCATCGATCGCAGGTTCGCCAGGTTTAGGAGCTGCAATATTTTCGATAGGCTTAGCTGCTTCTTCAGCGGGCTTAGCGGGGAACTCGATGGGCTTTTCTTCTGATTTCACTTCTGCAGGTTTGGCTTCTTCAGATTTAGGAGGTACCGGTGCTGGTTGCTCTTTCTTCACTTCAGGGACAGGAACAGCACTTTTGCCAACCGGTAAGTCGATTTTCTTTTCTGGTGTGGGAATGATGGCAGCAGGATCAACGACATCGTCAGCAACGGCAGCTGGTGATTTGACAGCATTAACGACATCGATTGATTCTTCGGGTACAGATTTAACGGAAGGTACTTCATTGGGTACTTCTTCTATTTTTGCAGCAACCCCTTTTTCTTCTGATTTGATTTCAGAGTTAACACTCTTTTCCTCAACTTTAGGTTCTTCTGGTTTCTGAATAGCTTCAGACTTCACTTCTTCACTAATTTTAGGCTCCGGTGTCTCTTCTTTCTTTTGTACTGGTGCAGCTTCTACTTTAGGAGCTTCAGGCTCTACTGGTGCACTCTTAGCTTCAGGTTCTGGAGATTTTTCTGCTTCTTTAGCTTCAGGAATGGGTTCTGCCTTTTTTTCTTCAACAGCTGGTACTGCAGCAGGTGCTGGGGCTGCAGCGGGTTCAGAAATTGCAGCAGGTGCTGGATCGGCAGCAGGTGCTGGAGCTGCAACAGGCGCTGGCACTGCAACAGGCGCTTCTTGTTTAGCACCATCAGCTTTGACTTCTGGAACTGGTGCAGGCACTTCACTGGCAACAGGTTTTTCCTCAGCTACTGGCATCGCTAAACTCGCGGCCGCAAAAGCCAGGCATAATAAAACGACCTTCATCCTGCAAAAGAAGAAAATATATTGTTAGTGGTTTGACATTATAATAGTTACAACATGATTGTAGACTTAAGAGCACGTCCACAGATCGTGAGTGTAGTAAGGCCAATGTTACGCGTCGACTGGACTTGATGTTTCGCAGCAATTTTCCAATTATGATTGAATCACCTAAGGTCTGATACAATGGGGAACGAATACCTAACTGTATTCTAGTTGTTGTACATTATTGTTAAGTAGGATGTAGACAGTACGTTCTTTCACAATCTCTAGACATCCTATTTAACATTGTGGAATAGCTACAGGCTTAACTAAGATTTCGACAAAAAAGTATTTATGTAAGTAGACGTAGAGTACAAGATCATAAAGTGGTTGTTTACGTTTTTATTTGATGTTGTTACAATGTACATATGTAGAGAAGTACAAAGATGAAAAAAGTTGATGCCTCATGACCAGCTCATCTATTTTCCATTAGCTAGACGGGTCGAGTACCTCAGTTGTGTCTATTTATAACGTAGTCTAGCTAAAGATAGGGTATTAAGGCGATATTCCTAGTCCTGTTGGAATGCGGTCTGGCGCCGCCGCTCTCTCTAAATAGATTATAGCCTCCGTAGAGAAATAATCGGTTAAAAATAATGTGGGTTCTACTAGTTGCAGTTAACGATACTTCTTTGTCGACCTACTTGACGACCACTTATTTTTTTCTCTCTAATTGATCTAGATGACAGATATTTCCTATTCTGAGTGCAGACGAGCACGATGCGAAAAGCGCGATAGAAATATGGATGTTTTGGCCAGCCGTAGACATTATATGAATTTTAATTGGCTAATTGAATTGAATTGTTGACTAGAATGCATCACGCCGTGCCATCGTATGAATGATTCACTGTATACGACACGACAGCGACAAAATAAGTTGAGTTTTATTAGTAGAGTTTATGTTAAGATAGAGACAGCGAGTTTTATTCTTATTTTTACAAGCAGACAGAATGTTAATTGAGCTTTATTCATTTTGTCGTTTTTGCACAGTGCGTAATGAGTCCGGTTTCATAACTTGGACTCGATCGACTTGACTTATTACGTACAACCTGTTCTTCACATAATAGGATGCTCTTTTTGATTTGTTTTAACATCTGAGTCAGGGTCATAAAAAATATCTTTTAAAGTACGCATAAAGGTTGAGAGAAAATGAAATCGTGAGGATAATGGAGACCGATATTGGGGTAGGTATTGCGTGAAACAAAACGTAAACTTTATTTCTTATGAAATATTTTGAACCTGTTTAATCGCTCAATACTAGACTTCAGCTAGAGTGACACGGTTTTTTCAAATGTTCACTGTTAAAAAAGTATAATTTGAAAAATGTTTTTACAGGTATTTTGCATTTATTTTTTACAGGTCATGTCATACATCTTAGATTTGTTGTTTTGGTCTTTTATTTGGACTTTATTTCTTTTCACATTGTTTTTATTTTAATAATTTGATTTTTATGCTCTCTTAATATTATAGAATACTAAGAAATACATAATACTAAGCTATAATAAAAAAAAACTTCGATAAGACTTACTGATTCACCAAAAAGGAATAAATATTTACTTGATCGAATAAAAACTGCGTTGACCGATCAGCCTTCTCGAAACTGACTCACGTGCAAAAAAGGTTAAATTGTAAATCTTGACCAGTAATTTCCAGAAACTGGTCCGAGACAAGTGGAGCCAGTGTTAGCATAATAAATAAAAGGAACAGTAACTCTACTCCTTATAAACGACGTTTACGCGGCCGACAAACATTCTCTGAACGGCATACAACGTAGTATCACCCTGTGTCATGCCACGCGCTGGCTAATATGTGCTCAAATCTCCTTGTTAATCTCCCGACGATTTCATTAAATTAACTTAAAGGTTTATTCATAATCCAAAAACTACTCAATGATCGTGTACCTAAACTAAATAATAATTATAAATTTTATAGGTAAACCTAGCGCTCTGTTCAGTTGTAGGTAAAAAATTTAAGAACACGTCTAAGTTGCGGTACTGTGCGTTTTATGTATTGTGGTGTAAGTATTGATTTATCACTCTGTGTATAGTAAGGAGTAGTTATGCCAATGCAATTGTTCGGCCATTGCCTCCATAGGCCGTGCAGATCTTCTCGTCTGATTACATATAATGTGCCATTATTATTTTTGCGGTCATGACTTTCGATTATAGAACTTTTTTAGCTTATTTACAATTTGTGAAATGTAATTTAGTTGCGTGAGACTTGTGAAGAAATTTTGTCAACCTTTTTTCATCGGGCCTTTTTAACCAATAAATTAGATAAAGACTGAATTGTGATTATTGTAAAATCGCTAAAGTCCGTGTGCTACTATCAAAAATACACGGGTGAATAAAACCTGCTTCAAAGTACTGTCACATCGCTATATTCCACGTTGCATTTGACGCAGTATTTTTGCATAATAGCAAAGCTGATCTTCGTGACTTGCGTATTTATTAATTTTCCATGCAAAGTTTCGAACTGTCGACTAAGAGCCTGTTAGGCTCTTTAACCGAGCGCTCCTTAAAAATATTAAAATTTAACTGCCACGCGAATGATCCTTTATGGTTTCCGTTTTTTATTTGTGAGGTATTTATGGGATTAAAAAAAATAAAAAATTGTCGACATTATCTACGATTGACGTTTTAGTATTTAATTTCCTACTTGCTACCCACGACTTCGCACGTGTAAATTGAAGCCTTTGTTAACTCTGTATGATGTAGCTATCCGTAAGTGAAAGAATTTTTTAAATTGATCCAGTAGTTTTGGAGTCAATTTTTCGTCTTTATAATACTAGTATAGAATAGATATAGCTAGATGACCTGGTGTGATTCGTATCACCTCTCACCATTTCACTACCTACGAGAAACATTCCAAAACCATAATCAGCTAAGGGAGCCAAACGAACAGCAATTGATTTTTATATATAGCAGATTTATTTAGTCGTTATGTTCTCAATTATGTGTCCTCTTAAGTTATTCCGTTGTAGACATCTACAATGGCGATATCGTTTAGTTCCCCAATGTTAATAGTTGGTCCTGTTATTTTCTGGAAGGATATCCTCGGACTGAGGGCAAGTATTGTCGCTTCCCACACGGCGCGCAATCTTCCAATTGACCGTAGCGCATGCCGGTTTATTGCTTCAATGAAAAAATTTGCCGTGCCCGTCTGTTATGTGCCCGGTATCTACATTTGATCCGATGGCATGGATAATATGTATTTTATACGTGAAAAAAATATTCATATGTTTCCTTTTTTAATGAAAAGGAAATGCACCTCATACTTAAAATTACGGCTTTCCAATGATTAGGACCTGCACCAAAGGACAAGGTCAAAGAACGTTGCAAGTGGTCAGTGGAAAGCATAATTGTTTAAAGCGTAATTCGCAGACCGCATTCGGAATGAAGAGATAAGAAAGAGAGTCCGTTGGTTCGGATATGTAGTAAGAATGTCGGATGAAACAATGACAAAACAGATATAAAACGCCAAAGTAGAAGGATGCAGAAACCGAGGAAAGCAACACACTTTTCACGGTCAAATCAATCGCGTGCTGTCAGAAGCCATAGAAACCGGCGTGTATGTAAGAAAAGAGTACTTTGTGGCGTTCAGTCCTCCGCCTACCCCGCCAGGGATACGGCGTGCAGTTATAGATAGATAGATAAATAGTTTATTTGTCGCACTACTACTTTAACTAAAAATCGCATCATTTTCATTTTCGACTATAATGAGCACATAAAATAGCTGATTATTATCAGTAATTAACTGTTTACTAGCGGCACCCGCTTAAGTCGTAGCTTTTCGTAGGTGAAAAAAAAAATAGGTCCAATAGCTTCGTAAGTCTCTCTTCTTTATAATATAAGTATAGATTTCATCATAATTTATTACAGTTGTTTTGATACTAGTATGATTCTATTAATTAGATAGACTTAAGGTAGATATGTTAATTGTCTACTTGGTAACAACAATGAAATATTCCGACGTTTATCTAGAAACTAGACCTCTGACGTTAAGAATAGACAATTTCTAAATGGTTCAACTTGATACTGTGGGCCTTGTAATATTTTGTGATACTATTAATACATTACAACACAATTGTCCTACTTCACGGTTCATTGGTATTTTTTGCGAAATCACATATTTTGTGTACACCCCTACTCGAGCATGACATGGTATATAAAATTATTTCTGTGCATGTTATTAATATATAAGAATTTGAATAATTTATACTTAATTAGCATCTAAATTCGACTTAATTTTCCTCAAAAATAATAGAACTTATAAAATCCTCAAACTCGTGTATATACATATATATATTTAAAAAATAAACATTAATTGACGATTTGTTGATATGAAAAGTTTTACTTCTTAATTAGTTTTTCGCTTTGTTCTCATATATGGGCATGTTTTTTATGAAAACTTTTAAAATACATATTCTTAACGAAAAATTGCTTAAATAATCTACTTGCCCCAGATACTCTAAGATGGGAAGTAGATATTTTAAGCCTTATTCATTAAGAATATTTTCAGTATAGTAGTTCAGTATAGTTTTCAGCATTTATGAATAAGGATTTTAATATGCATCTATTTTACCCGACTACGACGAAGCGAATAGTAGGGTTATGATTTTGGCTGGTACGTATGTATGTAAGAATGTTCATCTGTTCCCTTACAACTTCGAAATTACTCATCGTAACTGGATAAATGAGGTATCATTAGACGTTACATTAAATTGATAACAGCGCCCTCTAGAGGGCATAAAGTAAGTAACAAAAATAATATATATTATTCAATCATTCCGTGTAGGGTATCAAATGAAACTAAAACTAAAATCCGATCACGCTCTAAAAAGTTTGAAACAAGAAATTAATTTTATGGCAATAGCTTTGTTATAATAGCGATCAAAGGACAGCGTAGTCGTATACAACTGATTATAACAAAACAAACTGTTGTGACATACGACTATATAGGACTAGT